CTCTACTAACTGGACCTGACCGGCCGTCAGATAAGCGGAGTCTTGGCTCAGTAATAATCATTACGAGTCTTGACTAGAAGCTTGAAGGATAAGCCGACGGGCCGTCCCGAATACCCACGGGCAGTGAAATCTGTGCAATACCATTGGACCGCTGGGCACACCTGAGTCACTTACCACATGGACCACTGACTCACTGCTGACTCAACCAGTTTCTATTATCTCCGTTTATTATTCTGTACTTGTATAAAATGTGTAGTGTACTTCATGTAAAGGCAGTCAATTCGACCCCTGTGATTTGGGACTAGAGTTAGCTCGAGAATAGAAAAGACGAGATTTGATTTGCAAGAAGATTGAAGTTTGAGACGCATACAACTAAGATTGTGACCGCCCGCCCATCTAAGTGCTTACATCCCTTCTGACTCTGCTTTTCCATTGAGCCTTGCTCTGGCCTAACGTCGAGCGTTGCTCCGTTCTGATAGTGTTGAGCATTGCTCCACGGCAGTTTGAAGTTGATATTCCTCCTAGTCTTTCAGCGTACCACTGCGACGTTCCTTGGTGACAAGGGTTACTAGAGCACGATAGTTAGCCAAGGCATTGCATTGATTTTCGAAGTCCTAGTATATTACTCATCATACAAATTGAAGTGATTTGAAGTGCCATTTGAGGTTATTCGAGTGCAACTAGGTTATTGACCACCCAGCCGTCAGATCTATTGAAGTCACAGAAGTCTTGAAGGATGATACACCTGTCCTACCTCCCCGAACACACACACGATTGACATTAGAGTTGGAGTTTGTGATATATTTTGATTTTTGAGTTGGTTAGAGTTTAGTTGAGTTCGCTCACTAGGTTCGCTGAGTCTGAGTCTTGATCTCACGGCCACACTCAAGTGCACTGTTGCATCGCTGATTGGAATCAGCGCGCACAGTCAAAAAAGAACGAAACAAGGTGCACCAGCCTCCAGCCACTCCTTCTCTGACCGATGTACAGGTACAGCCTCTCCCCGAGCGACTGCAATGGTATCTTCTTGCTGCAGTTGCGCTATACAGCGCACACCATTGTGGGTATTCGAATTCATGTAACGCTTGGTCGAACCGACTAGTGAACAAAGATTAAAACGAGCTCCGCCAGGCGTCGGACCCGGATGTACTGCTCACGCCGATGTGCGGAAACATGAAGTCCGGCAGCCGTGTAGCGTACACCACGCCCGCCCGCTCATTGCCTACGATTTATTCCTCTTCAAATCACCATAGTTTCCCCTCAGGTGCACGACTGCGGGGCACTGTCCTCCACGAATCCAAGGATCCCGCGCCGGGTTGGTGAGTCAAGCGTGATCTTGCTGAATGTCTAATTCCCCGGCTGAAAGTGGAAGGATGCGCGGCGGGGACGGTGCGCTGCGCTCAATCCGAGTGAGTCGATGCTCATTTTATCTGGGGCTAGTACACCTTTCACGGGTGTGCCCGCACAGAAGTCACAAACAAATCCTTCAACCTATTGATGCGGGTGCCGGGGCCCGAACCCGGATCTACTGCTTCAAGCACATAGCAAACTGAAGCAGCTATGTACCACACACCACGTCCGCTTTATACCTCGGACTTACGCCCTGTTGGGTTGGACAGATTACGGTTGAGCTGGGACGATCCGACTGGGGAATGAGCATACAAAGAAAAAAAGAAAGTCGAACCCGGCTCTGCTGCGCAACGGTTTCCATAAACGATATAAAACCGGGGCACTTGTGTGCTGAAAATGTGCACACGTCGAGGCGCTGGGATTGCAGGGTGGAAGCAGGCGTGGTGTACAGGTACAGTACACAATTGCTTCCATTGAGCAGTTGTATCTCTGATTCAAACAGCAGACCCGCGTTCGACTCCCGGCACCGGCATCTCCGAAGATTTCACTCTATTTTTTTTAGTAGATCGGTGCGTAACAGTTGATCTGATTTTGGCAGGGGGCACAGAGCTCACACAGGGGATATCAGTGATAATCGCTTTCTGGGCAGTGGAGCTGATCCATTTATAACTCGCCAGACAGTCGCATAATCGGAAATAACCCCCGAGCAAAGAAGGAATCGCATCCCGGTGATAAGCCGCGAAATTTACCAACAATGGAATTACTGAATAATTACATTCTGCGCGCATCTGAGGGCTGACACGAGCTCCGAGTGTTCAGTTAAATGGCAATAAGACATAAACATAGTCACTTACCAAGGAGATGACGAATATCCACTCTGTGAAGCTTGGTTGATGTCCTAACGAGTACTACGGCGTATAACACCACCCTGTTTGGTTGAGTTTTGATGGTTTCTGCGACGCGATCGGTCACGTGATCCGGTTGTGAAGTACCCGAGTAGCGGTTCTCACCGAAGTAGGTTCGATCGGCTTACTCCGACGGATGACTAAATATAGTTTCCTGACAAAGTAATCCGTACAGAAGTAACCGTAACTCCAATCCAGGAGTTATGGGTATCAATTTAAAGCTACAGAAGAGCGTGTAATTATCCGCGTCCTCCGGACACAGCGGGCAGAGTGTAATAAGTACAGAAGGTGTTTAACTCGTTCAACAGGAGTTAAATCATACCCGATCGCGACAGTAAGGGGACGGTTGCTTGCAATCGGTAACCTGTTTGTCAGAATTAAATGTATAGAGCCTATAATCAGCCAATGGGAATAATATCCCGATACCAGATGACCTGCCGGATACCTGTATATACCCACGGTAGTGTAATCAAGCATTGTAATAGTCTATAATTTGTAGTATAAAAGCAGGACGTTCTGACGAGGAACGGCACTGAATCTTGACCCGAGCTAGTGTGGAAGGCTAACACCATTGCCCCTTCCCACGCGCGCGACAGGTCTCGGTTGAGGGCTTTACTCTGAGGACTCTGCTATTTTGATAGTGGTCCCGTGAAATAAAGTTTCTTTTGATTGCCAACGTTGTGAATTGAGTTTGAGTTTGAAAGAGCCGTGTGTCCATTGTCTTGAGATCAGAGAAAGCATTTGGGACTTGTGATTTGAGATTATCGAACCGTGGACTTGTGTCCAAAAACCCGAACTTCGGTTCAAACAACTTGCCGGCCTTCAAGCCGTTACTTGCGCTATAGCTGAGAAGCTTAAAATCTAACTATAACTGCTCGGCTTCAATCTTGACTCAGTCAAATTGTTACTTGAACCAAGTGTCCGTAGAGAAAGTTCCTCTTTGAGTTACTCCTCACTGTACAGAGACAATTAAAGGGATCCCGACTTAGAGCTCCTTAGACCTATACTTGTGTCTAAAAAGACCCTAACTCGTCAGACAAATCATCGGGGCAATTAAGAGGTGTTTAGTGTTTGAGATCTGGTATTTTGAGTAGTTGAAGTTGGACTTACTCGCTCATTTGAGTTGTGTCCAATCTCAATCGCTCGAAAGTTGGATTTTGTTCATTTTGCATTTGCAGCCTTTGACTCTGAGCAACCGTTTCACCGGAAACCACCAATGCAGGGGAGACTTAATCATAGCTATGACGCGGGCGTGGTGCACGACACACAGCTGTCTTCAATGTTGTGAATCTATCGCACTCGAGCCGCAAAACCGGGTGCGACTCCCGTCACCCGCAGTATCATTATCGTCTTCCATTTTTTTTAATCAAAATCTTTTGGATTCGCTCACCCTGGTTAGTGCTGCGACTCCGATGCCGATACGCAGTCTCACGCTCACGCCGTTGGCCATCGTAATCAATTGAGTCAGTGTCTTTCGGCGGTCTCACCCACTCAAAGAGTAGAAAATGATTGATATTCAACAATAGCTGGATATAAGTCAAAATTCACACAAGATGGGGAAGACTGAATCGGAGGGAGTACGCGGGCGTGGTGGATGATACATCTCTGCTTTCAATGTTCCACCGCAACGACTTCCATGCATGCAGCAGAGCCAGGTTCGACTCCCGGCGCCCGCTTGGGGCGGTCTTCAAAATAGTTTTTGCTCGCTCTTTCCTTCTCGTTTCACGTCCGGGTGCTCGCAAATCGCGATTCATCCAGTGTCTTAATCGGATCAACTGTTACGCACCGCCGGCGCCGGGAGTTGAACCCGGGTCTCCTGTTTGAATCAGAGATACAACTGCTCAACTGCAGCAATTGTGGACGGTACCCCACGCCTGCTTCCACCCTGCAAGTCCAGCGCCTCGACGTGCACACATTTCCAGCACACAGCTGCCCCGGTTTTATATATCGTTTATGGAAATCGTTGCGCAGCAGAGCCAGGTTCGATTTTCTTTTTTGTATGCTCATTCCCCGGTCGGATCATCCCAGATCAACCGTGAAAACGATTAAATTCTGTGCAACCTAACGGGGCGTAAATCCGAGGTATAAAGCGGGCGTGGTGTGCGGTACACAGCTGCTTCAGTTTGCTATGTGCTTGAAGCAGTAGATCCGGGTTCGACCCCCAGCGCCCACATCGATCGGTTCGAGGATCTGTTTTTGACTTGTGCGCAAGCACACCCGTGAAGATGTACTAGCCCCAGATAAAATGAGTACCGATTCACTCGGATCGAGCGCAGCGCACCGTCCCCGCCGCGCATCCTTCCACTTTCAGCCGGGGAATTAGACATTCAGCAAGATCGCGCTTGAATCACCAACCTGGCGCGGGGTTCTTAGATTCGTGGAGGATAATGCCCAGCAGTCGTGCACCTGAGGGGAAACTACGGTGATTTGAAGAGGAACAAATCGTCAGCAATAAGCGGGCGGGCGTGGTGTACGCTACACGGCTGCCTGACTTCATGTTTCCGCACATCGGCGTGAGCAGTACATCCGGGTTCGACTCCCGACGCAGCTCTTTTTAAGCTTTGTTCACTAGCCTGTCGGTCCAAAGCGGTTGAGCCCCGGGTGATGAGGCACTGACCTGGATCACGGGCAACCCACCTCGCTGTCACCACATCTTTCCGGGGTGCTCAGAGTCCCTCAAGGGTACAAACCTGAAGCTGATTCAGATTCTGGTCAATGTCAAGGGGTTTACATGCTCGTTAATAAGCGGGTGTGGTGCAGGGTACACAGCTGCCTTGGTTAGTTGGGCACTCGTGAAAAGCATCAAGCAGCAGATCCGGGTTCGACTCCCGGCGCCCGTATAATGCAATGGTCCAGTTTTTTTTTAAAACATAATAACAGCTGTGGCGCGTCTTTCACTGCCAGCGGACGACTCAACAGCTTCCTGTATGTGTCCACCGCGTGCGTGTCGTGGTCTCGCCAGTTTTTGGAGTCGACGCGAAGGAGCCGATGCGACCATTCGGATTTGGCGCGGGGACAGGATTCCCAAGTCAACACACCGCCCGTCGTCTTTTAAGCATACACCACCTGTTTACGCCCGAGAACAGCGCGACCTCCTTGATTTGTGAGTCGACCTCAACCTCGCTTCAAGGGGAGGGAACCCGAGGGATAAATGATGCGGGCGGAGGGTACGGTACGGTACACACTGGCCCTTCCCCTTTTTCAAGGAACGGTTCAGCTAAAGGCTTCGAGCAACGTATCTGGGTTCCCGTATGAATAAAGTGACAACCACGCACACCTTTTGCACGCACCGCTGCTGCACCGGTGACGCGCTGACGGGGGGTACGTATACTCGTCGAATTGCGGAGATACGCCGCGGATTGTGCATAGGCACCCAATTGCACTTGTGTTGGACCTGTCTGTGTCGGTACATTGAACGACAGGCGCTAGGATTGCGATGCGTTCACAGCACGGCGGCACCTGCGTAGGCTCATACGTCGGGACCCGCTCCGCGACTGCGCGAGCGTATGATCACACGCCGGCGCCCACCCAGGATCGTACGTGGGCGACCGCGCGGATCAACGACGCCTATGCAACACCCCCCACGGGTCACTCAAGGCGCCCGCGTATGGTCATACGCCCCTGTGCCTCCGCTCCCGCACGCCCGCGGCTCAATCGAGGCGCGCGGCAGCGTCATACGCGTGACGCCGCCGCCCACGCCGGCGAGGACGTGCGCCGCGACTCAGAGGCGGGCTTCGCGCGCGCCTCGTACGTACCTCGTACGCGGCTCATTCACGCCGGCGCCAGGACCTGCATGCGCCTCGCGCAGCGCGGGGCGTCGAGCCTCCTGCGCACTTGTTCTTCTCGCGGTTCGCTACGGTGGCGAGGACCTGCGCCGCAAGCTGCGAGCGCGGCACCGCCGCCGCGACAGCGCGGAGATGGGTCTCGAGTGCGCGAGAGGGGGCGCATATGCTCTGTGCGCCGGCGGAGGAGAGCGGGGGCGCTCGGTGCATTGACGGACAGTGAGGATGGTGCGGCGGCGGCGGAGAGTGGGGCAGGCTCGACAATGTGGGTGGGGCACCGTACCGTACCATCCGCCTGCTTTATCCATACCTCGCCCTTACCGAATCAAGTGAGAGGTTGAGGTTGGTTCACATGCAAACCAAGGCTCCCCTCGTCGGCCGCGCTTTGCCCTGGTGTGCTGAAAATGTGCGCACGTCGAGGCGCTGGGATGGCAGGGTGGAAGCAGGCGTGGTGTACAGTACACAATTGCTTCAGTTGAGCAGCTGTAAGTTATCTTGGGTTCGACTCCCGGCGCCGGCATCCCCGAAGATTTCGCTCCATTTTTTTAGTAGTTCGGTGTGTAACAGTTGGCTTGATTTGATTTTGGGGGTGGGTACATAGCTCGCACGGGCGATACCAGTGATAATGGCTTTCTGGGCAATGGAGCTGGCCCGTTTATAACTTCCCAGACAGTCGCATAATCAGAAATAGCCCGCGAGAAAAGAAGACATCGCATCCTGGAAAAACCGCCCATGCAGGGGAGACTTGATCCTAGTTATGAAGTGGGTGTGGTGCGCTGCACACAGCTGTCTTCGATATTGTGAATCTTTTTCCACTCTAACCGCAAAACAGGGTTCGACTCCCGGCACCCGCAGTATCATTATCGTCTTCCATTTAAAAAAAATTCTTTTGGATTCGCTCACCCTGGTTGGTGCTGCGAATCCGACGCAGATACGCAGTCTCACGCTCACGATCATATTCAATTGAGTCAGCTTCTTTCCGCGATTTCTTTCATCCACAAAGAGTAAAACATGAAATTGATTGATATTATTCAATAGCTGGATAGGGGTCAAAATTCACTCAACATGGGGAAGACTAAACCGTAGAGAGTATGTGGGCGTGGTGTGTGGTGCACCGCTGCTTTCAATGTTCCACAGTGACGACTTCCATGCATGCAGCAGAGCCGGATTCGACCCCTGGCGCCCGCTTGGGTTGTCTCGGAAAAAGGTTTTTTGTCGCTCTTTCCTCCTCGACTCACGTCCGGGTGCTCGCGAATCGCGATTCGTCCGGTGTCTTCCTGTTGACCCCGAAATCCAGCAATTCCCGGGATTGAGCCGTCAAGTCTACTCGACACGGGGAACGTTCCATCGAGCGGGCGTAGTACACGGCCTTCAATGTTAACACCCTCATCGCCCTGCCAGCAGCCCAGCCGGGTAAGTTGGCCCCCGTCGCCCGCATCCCAGGTGTTCAACCAGCGAATGAAGGCAGGATCTCCGTCAACGGCTGAGATAGAAGTTGAAATCTGACCAATTGCAACCTGGGGCACAATAAAGGGGGAGAGAGGAAGCGGGTGTGGTGCACGGTACACAACTGCTCCCATTCCGCCGTCGAGAATCCTCCAGTGGTAGAACCGCGCTCGACTTCTGGCGCCCGCATCCCCAATTCGCGACATGCTTTTTGTCAACTCGCTCCGTAAATTGAATGTGAGGGCGGGGTGATCGAGGGAGTTGGTCCACACTAAGTAGCATTGTAGAATATTTCGACTGGGTATATCGGTATCTATTAAGCAACAGCATACTATATGTAGAGGAATGATCCGGGGAAACAATTCCTGAGGGACGAATACACCGTCGAAAATTGGTCGACTCATTGGAAGCTAAATGAACGAAAAAGGACAAAACTTCAACAATTCCTTCCGCCACTAAGTCTCTTTCCTGTTCCACATTCCTCACACATATGTCGGGTTTCCGGGCGGATGGGACAATTACAGGAGGCAGTGTTGAATTCCAACCCCGATTTGATGGTTGGTGGTCGACTACATAGGTAAGCAGAGGTTCCCCCTACAACGTATTGAAAAGGAAGACTTCCTTCGCACTCCCTTCAAGCCGTGAAACCAACCCCCAAAACGAAAAACTCGCTCTGGAAGACAAATGACCTACCCTGGATTCGAACCAGGGGAGCCTGCGTGACTGTTGCATGCAGCTTAGTGCAGTCTATAGTCAAGGCTATCACGGAAAAGTCCTGGTCCCGTGACAATTTTGTTACTGTTCCATTGCATGCACCCAACATGCGAGAGATGGTACCTCGAGAAAGCTTCGGAGCCAAGTACACTCCAAATACTCAAGTTAACTCGGGAAACATGGACGTCCAGATACGGAACTCACCTACAATGAAGTAGATTCGTGTCAGGAAGCAGGCACTCAAACTGGTTTATCGAGCTGATATTAGCAGCCGAAGGCCAGTAACTGGTCTTGAATTTACAGCGCACATCTCTAACCCTTCTCATTGGGCATGACCGGTCCGGTCGTTCCGACGGTTCCGTAACCGCAGACTACCACTTTCTTCCTTCGCACGCACCACCACCACCTGTCGGTCATCCTGGTCCCTCCGCCTACGCGGAACCAGCATGGGTACACAAACACAATGTCTGAACCGCAGGCCGCCGAAGGACGATTCCCTCCACCCCGACAGACAGATCACCGTGGGATGGCCACCAGACGCATCAACTACGGTCTTATACCTCGGCCGTCCTAGTCCTAAACTGTGGTCAGAATTCTCTGTCGAGTCGGGGCCACCAGACCTTTGCCGGATCGGCAGTGTACGGTTTGCGCTCTTTGCGTTCGATCACAAGGCCATGACTGTGTCTCATGCTCTGCTGGCGGTTGCTTTCGGAAATACTTAAGGAACACTTACAGTCTGGAACATCCTCAAACTCAGGGCTGCTATGATTCAGCTTTGGACGTCGCTTTTGTCACTTTTGTCCGTTGTCGCCGCGGTGCATCTGCCCGTCGAGCGCCAAACGAACGATGGTGTCCACTTGGCTATCACACCAGTGTGCGGAAAGCTCGGCGGCACGTTTGCCAACGCCAACGCTGGGGTTGTGACGACCGGGATCAAAACGCTGGTCGCTTTCAGGGCGCGTTCCACTCTTCTTATTCATAGGCACCGCCCACTAATGGTCATTATATCAGGACTCGTACACCTATGGCGGACGCAGTGATGGCGGAACCCTCCCGGCAGCCGTACTGAATGGCACCAGCCCGCTTGCAGGTGGTCGTGGTACGGACGGCCCTGTCTGGGCCGAAGGCGTTGCAAGCGATTTGGGCGCAGCCATCAAGGATTACGCTGTGCGTCTTTTCCTGAGTGCGCGTTCTGTACAGGAGTGATAATCCTCATGAAGATCTCTGGCGCAGTCATAAATGTGACCCTGTGGCCGAGCTTAGTCGGCCACTCAGATTTCCTGCATCAAGGTATGTCGTCTCTATCATCGAGACCAGGATAGTCTTGTGAGCGGAGACTGTGATAGCATCTCTTTTCCTGAGCCAAAATAACACCTTGAATCCGGCAACAACTCTGTACACTGTGTTCTTCGGAATCAAGTATGCGATGGCCGTCATTTTACATCATGGATGTCTGATACATTTGATTTGTAGTGACGTCTCCGCTTCGTCCAGTGCGTCTCGCTTTGCACGAATTTCGTTTCTAGTCTGATGATAACACGTATCTACAGCCGACGGGAACCACCTCCCCCAAGCCGCCGCGGAGCTTCTCACACAGATCAAGCAACTCGCCGCAGCGCCCACAAACACCAAAAACATCGTCGTGCTCGACGACTACGGGCGCGGATCGCACTCCACCACCGGCGACGCTTTCAAGCAGGCCGTCTTCGCCGGCCTCACTCCCTTGCACGCCCAGGGTCTGAACGTCGCGTTTGTCGACTTTGTGCCGCTCTGGGATGCCATACTGGGGACGACGCCGGGCTTTGCGGCGTTCGGATACAAGACTTCTGGCGCCTGCATACCGACTTTGTCGCAGACGGATTTGTCCGGGGAGTGCTCGACGCCGTTGAACTCGTTCT